CCCTGCTCGGCCCGGCCTGGCCGTGCCCTGCCCGCGCGCCTGCCAGCCGTCTTTGTATTGATCCAGGGCGAGCTGCCAAAATTCCCGCCCCGCCCTGGGCGCGGGCGCGAAGCAGCGCCGCGCCGGCCCCGCCACAGACGCGGGCGGGCGGTCGCGCTGAATGGGCGTGGCCGCCGCCCCCGCGCCCAGGCGGACCGCCGCTCCGCCCCGCTCAGCTTCTTAGGCGCTTAGGCGCGCGCGAGCTTTGAAGGTGTTTCAAAATGATCAAAAGACAAGATTTATCCATTTTATCGTTTCCCGGGCGCAGCAATAAGGGTTTTGCTGTCGAAAATTCTCCGTTTTGTGGCGCACGATACTTTATCTTCTTACAAAGTAAAGGAGATAAAGTAAAACAGATGTACGTGTAACAATGCTAATTACGAGTTGCAATTTCTTGGGTTCGTAAAGACATTTGAAGTATCCCTTCTAATCCCTTATTTACCGGTATTTTGGTTTCCATGTAACTTGACCGACATTGAATAACTTTCTCTGATTTCTGGGTATCTGTGATCAATCATTGCGACTTGCAGATAGAAATCTTTCACCAATTATCTAAAATGTAGTATGTGTAGGGGTCAATTTCTCTTTAATTTCTTTGGTTTCAATTTACTGGTCTTGTATTTCGTTTTAAAATTAACGAAAATAATTAGTATAACATATTTACTACAATCAGATATCAGTGCGATTGCAATCTAACACAAAATTGAAAAGCCTACATGTTACGATAGCTCCCGTGGACTACAGAAAAAGCAGGCATGTAAAGGAATTAATTTCGTATATTTCATATTATATATCCCCCATAAAATCATGTTTATATCCCAATAACGTCTTCATTGGAAAGGCTGCAGAGAGCATAAAATTATGCGACTACAAGCGATAATATACCGCCTCTTAAATATTTAAACTTCACTTTGTAGAATCTTCTGAGCTTGACTTACATGTGATTCAAATTGGTTTATAATGTTTTGGGTTTCATGCAATGAATTGTTTGTTGTGAAACCTTTTTTATTTCCCTTCATAAAATGAATGTCGAAACCTGTTGCCAAGGTTGCCATGACAAAAAAGGATCACGGTGTTCAATAAACCCGTGAACAAGTTATGCTTTTTTCACACTTGAAATATTATTTTTTGGGGTCGAACGCACGTCTAACGCAAACGCTCGCCACAGCCCGCTCTGGTGCGGACTTGTTTTGCGAACTTCGGCGTAGCTTTGTGGGGCTAATGGCGGAGAAGAAGCCGTGTCCGGTGTCGCTGCAGCCAACGCAGGACGACATGAAGTGCTGCCCGGCGGTGCCGGGCAAGCGACCGTGCTGCGTGCCGGGGGGCCGCCCGCCGGGCCCGCTGCCGTCCCCGGAGGTGCTGGAGAAGCTGCGGCAGGGCTACGAGTGCCTGCAGGCCTCCGACAGCAAGTCCCTGCTGCGCAAGTACCTGACGCGCGAGGTGTTCGACAAGCTCAAGTACCGCGTCACGCACCAGGGCTCCACGCTGCTGGACGTGGTGCAGAGCGGCTTCGAGAACCACGACTCGGGCGTGGGGCTGTACGCGTCCGACCCGGAGACGTACAGCACGTTCGCGGACCTGTTCGACCCGGTGATCGCCGACTACCACGGCTTCGCCGCCACGGACTGCCACCCGCGCCTGGACTGGGGCAACCCGAGCTCGCTGTCCGACCTCGACCCCGAGAACAAGTACATCCGGTCGACGCGGGTGCGCTGCGGTCGCTCCATCGCGGGCTACCCGTTCAACCCGATGATGACCAAGGAACTGTACGAGCAGATGGAGAAGGACGCGTCGGACGCCCTCTGCTCGCTGGACGGTCCACACGCGGGCAAGTACGAGCCTCTGTGCGGCATGGCCCCGGACTACCAGCAGCAGTTGATCGACGACCACTACCTTTTCAAAGAGGGCGACCGCTTTCTGATCGCGGCCAAGTCCTGCGAGCACTGGCCCATCGGACGCGGAATCTTCCTGAACGAGGACAAGACGTTCCTGGTGTGGGTGGGCGAGGAGGATCACCTGCGAATCATCTCCATGCAGATGGGCGGCCACCTCGGGGAGGTGTACAAGCGGATGGTGGACGGCGTCAACAAGATCGGGCGCAAGCTGTCGTTCGTACGCCATCCGCGGTTGGGATTTCTCACCTTCTGCCCCACCAACCTGGGCACGACGGTGCGCGCCTCCGTCATGATTACGCTGCCCAACATCGGCTCGGACCTGGAGAGCCTGGAGGGCATCGCGTCCAAGTACAACCTGCAGGTGCGCGGCACCGCCGGGGAACACTCCGCGTCGGCCGACGGGTCGTACGACATCTCGAACAAGCGCCGTCTGGGACTCACCGAGTTCGAGGCTGTCAACGAGATGTACACCGGCCTACGCGAAATGATCAAGATGGAGCAGTCCAAGTCGTAGATTGCGGCACCAACCATAAAATCAGAAGATTTGTGCAGGGCCGTATTTGTAGGACGGTTCTGTGAAGTTTTGAAAATATACTTGAATGCAATTTAACTGTCAATGCTGCATATGTGCACAGTGATATATATAGAAAAAAATTATTGTATGATATAATTTTAATGGCAAATAAAGCACTGGTGCAATTTACGAAATTGGTGAGGAATGCCATGATCTTGAACAGAAAGAAACCGGCCCATCTATTTGTAGATATTTCTTACAAATGGTAAAAGAAATTGACGACTCATGTAACACAATATCGTTCAAAAAAGCTATCTTTCTCCTATATATTTTATATACTTCTTAGGGTTTAAGTTTATTTTTATGCCCATCCATAGTTCTGTTTAATTTTGCAAAATATTGCAGATAGAACATTGCCATAGCAATTAAGATCATTTACTGACTAGGAAATCGTTGACTGATTGTCAGGTTATATTCCTCATCAAGGTTTGTAGTTCTTCGTTTCTTAAAATTCTATTTCAGCTACTCAGTACATTTTTGCTGCTTTATTCGCTTTCTCAGTACATACTTGAGTTTGACAATAGGATCATTTACAATGTTCACTCAATGTTTTGAAAACTGCATTTGGGAAACCGATCGTGATTTTGAATATTTTTGTTATAATGCATATTTAAAAACATTTCAAACTACTAAGGCATTTGAAAAAAAATTTTATCAAACTATAACAATATATAATAAATAACAAAACATAATTAGCGTCTCCTTGCATACTTTTTCTGTGCTGGTGAGGGCTAGAGCATATAAGATATGTTCTAGGCAGGGAGGACGATCGCAATAAATATGTGATTTGAGATGTATGTTCTTACATCTGACTTATGTAAAGAATTATTATTAAATAATAATAATGATAATAATATAAGAATATTGTGTTATTACAATCGCAAAAGGAATGTATGGCAGCAGTATTTGTCAACGCAACACACTGACTCTAGAGTGATAGTTACTAGAAGGAGTGGAATCCTTTTACCCACACTCTGATCGCTTAAAAACATCACCCATTCATTTTCAAAACGTATTTTGTATGAGAAAGAGAGGATAAATTCTTACTTCATATACCCTTGGGCAGGGCTTAATTTATGACGGAACGCGATAGATCAGCGTGTCGCTTTCTCCGGATATTATTAAATTATATTATTAATACATAACTGTTTCTAATGAACTAATAATTAAATTGCGGCGCCTTCCTGAGCCTAACATTTTATAAATCAAGCATTGGCCTTGGGCATGAGCGTCACTGGTGTATATTGCAATGGAACGAATTTTGAAAAGTGATCGAACGTTAAGTACGCTCTTACCACTCGGTACGTATTATATGTTCGCATAGGTAGTGCAGAAATAGTGCCAAACTCACTAAAAATTAAGACACTATAATTACCAACAAATTTACGATAATGCATTTGTATTTAAATATACATTTACTACTACTACTACTAATAATAATAATAATAAATTAGTGTGAAGTACTACTCTAGAAAGTAATAAAACACCAGTGTTTTGACAGAATTTTATTTGTCTATTTGAAATTTGGACAACGAGAAGCAATGTTTGTAGCATGCATACTTCAACTACAGTATGCATTCAAATAACATTCTACTTCTCTTTTTGCTTATCATTAATAGGGATGTTGCCTTTATGTTGTATGTGTTGTAAATAAGGTCCAATATCAAACATAGTAAACGGTGTAGATGTTTTCTTATCGTTTGTTGCATATTCGCTTTGACAGAATTTAGCTCATTCGAAATTAGTATGAATTAAAAGATCTTCATTCATTCCCAGTAAAATAACCGTCGTTAACCAAATGCAACTTTAATTTTGTTCTGATAACGGTGCCTATTAAGTAGCATTGGTGATTAATTAATTATTGGTTGATGCCGACAGGATAGGTTGATACAGAAATATACTCTTTAATTTAGAAATTAGTGTATCGATTATCTGTTTGGTTTTTAAACCAAACATTTGGTGTCCTAAATAAATAGTTATATGAATTGTTACCACAACATACTTTTAATTTTATGAAATTTTGCAAACTTGCAATTTGCACAAAATATTAATTCTCGAACAAAATAATTTTGTAAAATAAACAGTTACGTTTAGAAAACAAAATATATTTATTCTATGACGGTTAAAAAGGAGTCTAATATTACTCGCGCAATTTTTTTTTGAACGACGTATTGAAGAAATGCGGGTAGAGTGGGGGTATTAGTTACAAAATCGGTTACTAGATTTTATGAAGCAATGCCAATCTCTGGGGAATCAGTCATGCCTTCGCAACTTTCTCAATAATTTGCGTTCTATCTTTCTCATGAGTTCGAGTTGTGTCCTCTGATAGATCATTTTCTGATTTGGTCATTTCTTTAATATTTTTGGAAAAAATAACGGACAAAAGTTCTCGTCTTCAAAAGAAAATAGTTGCTATTTTGCGCCATTAGAGATGTGTTTGGTATGCTGTCATCAGTGCTCGCTGCTTGCGTGCATTACCTTCAACTGTTATTGTGCCAGAGAGGGCGAAGCAAGGTCGTCGTTGAAGAAGATTTGCGTTAGTAATAGTTGCCCAGCTCTTACAACAAAAGGCCTTAAAAAAACAAAATAGTTGCCCAACTCTAACAGAAGGCCGTGAAGATACAAAATAGTTACCCAACTCGTACAACAGAAGGCCTTGGAAAAACAAAATACGTCGCTAGTTGTGAAGAAGGTCGTGTCTTATCATAGGCGTGATCAGAAAGTGTCTTTGCGAGACGCCGAGATGGGAGACCGTCCGCAGTGCCCCCCGATCAAGACGGCTCAGCAGCCCGACCCCGTGTGCTGCTCGGCGCTGGCGGGCCAGCCGGCGTGCTGCGTGCCCATCAAGGAGAAGCGGGCGGCGGGGCCGACGCCCGACGCGGACGTGCTGGAGAAGCTGCGGCGCGGCTACGAGCGGCTGCAGCTGTCGTCCAGCACCTCCCTGCTGCGCAAGCACCTGACGCGCGAGCTCTTCGACCGCCTCAAGGTCAAGATGACGCAGCACGGCTCCTCGCTGCTGGACGTGGTGCAGAGCGGCTTCCAGCATTACGACTCCAACGTGGGCGTGTACGCGCCGGACGCCGACGCTTACTCCGTCTTCTCGCAGCTGTTCGACCCGATAATCGCCGAATACCACGGGTTCGGCCCCACGGACGTGCACCCGCCGCTGGACTGGGGCAACCCCGGCACGCTCAAGGACCTCGACCCGGAAAACAAGTACATCCGCTCGACGCGGGTGCGCTGCGGTCGCTCCATCGCGGGCTACCCGTTCAATCCGATGATGACCAAAGAGCTGTACAAGCAGATGGAGAAAGAGGCGTCGGAGGTGCTCTTGCAACTGGACGGCGTGCACGCGGGAAAATACGAGACGCTGCGCGGCATGAACCCCCGGTACCAGAAGCAGCTCATCAACGACCACTACCTTTTCAAAGAGGGCGACCGGTTTCTGATCGCGGCCAAGTCCTGCGAGCATTGGCCGATCGGGCGCGGCATCTTCATGAACGAGGACAAGACGTTTCTGGTGTGGGTGGGCGAGGAGGACCATCTGCGAATCATCTCCATGCAGATGGGCGGGAACCTCGGGGAGGTGTACAAGCGGATGGTGGACGGCGTGAACAAGATCGGGCGCAAGCTGTCGTTCGTGCGTCATCCGCGGTTGGGATTTCTCACCTTCTGCCCCACCAACCTGGGCACGACGGTGCGCGCGTCCGTTATGATTCGGCTGCCGATCATCGGGCGCGACCTGGCGCAGCTGGAGGCCCTGGCGGAGCGGTACAACCTGCAGGTGCGCGGGTCGGAGGGCGAGCACACGGCGTCGGCCGACGGGTCGTACGACATCTCGAACAAGCGCCGACTCGGCATCACGGAGTTCCAGGCCGTCCACGAGATGTACTCGGGTCTGCGGGAGATGATCTACCTCGAGGAGCTCAGGTCGCAGCTGTGAATCTCCCGCGCACAGCGGACAGGAATCGTTGCATAAACCCCAGCGATATAATACAAACTTAAATTCTCTGTTACTCAAGCAAAGTAGATCACAACTATTCCTGAATTTGTATTGTTATTTATGTATTTAAAGCAGCAAAAAGAATTAATATTTCATTAGAATATTTGAGTTAGGTGATTTGAAAACTCTTATTTCCTTCAGACACTTAACAAACTAATTGCAATGAATATCATAATGTATAATGCATACCATTCAAGTAATATTCTGATGAATATGATATGTAGACAAGAAATAATATTTGCAATAGACGTAATAAAGAAGATAATAAAGTGCTATTTATTGAAACAAAATATTTACTAATTTATTTATACGTTTATCATACAATTGAATTATTTCAATGAATTATTTCAATGAATTATTTCAATGAATTATTTCAATGAATTATTTCAATGAATTATTTCTTTACCCTTTTATATGGTACAAGTTATCTCTTCAGTTATTTTTTCAAAGTTTTTAACACTGAAGAAAAATATTAGAGGGGTTTTAGAACACAAACCTTCTTTCGTTCAGCAATTTTTAACTTTTTGTTCTTACAAAGACGATTAAGAAATGTAATATTTATGTTGCAAATAGTATTTATCTAAGATATTGCAAAGCTAATATTCACTACTTTAATGCAATATTATTATTCGGTTTTCTTTTTTGAACGTTTCATAATGTATTTCGTTATTACCATTTTGTACGCCTTCGAGCACAATGGAAGCTTGTGTTTCCTCTTGTGATTGTGACATGGCAGGGATTGGAAACTATAATGAATATCTTTGAATGCTTTTCAGTATGACTCGCGGTATAGTGGCCAAACTGCTCACTTTTCAGTTTTGTTCACAGTACTGAAGCTCAAATCCTGTCTATCTCTCTTAAATTTCTGGTGGTCAAAAAGGTTTTACGGGGGGGGGGGGTATAAGCTCTCCCTTTTCCCATCATCAGAATGATCACTTGGTATCTGAATAAAAATCGAAACAATTCAACCCAGGTGTAATAAAAACCCTAAAAATTGAAAATAATAATCATTAAATTAATATTTTCTGAAACACTTGTTTCCTTCCTGTTGTACGGGTAAGTTGGGCTTCCGCCACAAAGTAGAGAGCCTAGAGATCACCGAGGGTAAACTGTGAAATGATGACAATGAAGTGGATTTTCATGCACTCTGGTGAAAATATTAAATGATATTCGATGTTCGTAAACATGTCAAAGGTAGTGAAGCCATATACCTATGTTAGGTTGAGGTGTAATCATCGTTTCACAATACAATTTCACTGCTAACACCAATTCCAAAAATACCAAGATGTCGAGTAAAGCCAGTACTATCATCTCGTATATACGACATGAATTAAAAATATATATAAATGAATTACAACTAGAAATGTACGAGATCCACGGATTGAGATGTCTCTAGCAATCTGCTAGTTTTAGATAAGTATCTTTAAAATACTTTTCGAATTTCTGTTCATATGTTTAGTTGCAAATTCTTGGTTGTTATATATTTTTTGTTACAACTATCAGTCTTTCTCTTTGGTACTACTAAATAATCAGTAAACACAATAATTTTCTTCTCAACAACAACCTAATTTTGTAGTTTAGTACAGTTGCAGGTTCAATAGTGTTTCCTTCTATTATTTCTCAATTTTTCTTTGATTTGTTTTATTATTCTAGTACGTACTTAACCTCATCGCAGTCTGAAGTATGGCACGCATAATACTTCTGCGTGTTAACTTATTTAGCATTTTGATGTTTCTTTAAACACATTGGTGACATGGCGAAAGTTCAAATCAGCTCAACGGAGAAGAATTTCATTCGTCGTACTTAGAATCATGATCCATTGTGATGCCTTACATTATTACGGGTAAACTGTCACCATTCATTCTGCTGGTCTCAGACCTTTCTGAGAATTGGAAAGTCTTCTTGGAAATCATATCTTGGCATGCTGCCTAACAATGATCTAAATTAATATTTATCACTTTTTAATTCTGTAGAAGATGTACGCGTATCAGTTTTCTATAATTGGTCGCCACAATTGAATAATGGGTATTTGATAAAGTTACAAGGACATTATTTTCGTCATACTCATCTGTTATATTGATTTAACGCAATCAAATAGAAACGAAAGGACTCTCAACTCTTAAAGATTGAATAAACCACCGTCCGTTAAGAGCAATCAAGACAGATGAATTGTATCTAAACTTGGACGACGAGGTAATTGCTTGGTTGATTAGTGATTTCGGGTGAATCAACAGCTAAGATCGTTGATCCCGTAAGAGTAGTGTTTGTTTTTTTATTACTGGAAGTGGCGTTGATCATCCACCGCTAGGTAACGAGATTCGGCGCCGATCTACCCTGTCAGCTTGTGGATTTTTCCTATCCAGGTGCCTCTTACCACCGGAGCCGGAAACACCACTGAGCTCCCGACCGGTCTCTCGTCATGTGTGGTGGTGTAGTACATGTAATGTACATGGTGTAGACATGGAAGAGGACAAGGAAGAGGAAGAAACGATGACGTGCCGCCCGTGGCTCAATTGTTTGTGTACTGCTCAGGCATTCGCCTGGTGTTGATCGAGGAATTCACAGAAAACTACCGTTCAGACCAGCCGGCCGCTAGAATTCTCGTGCAGTCAGTCGTTGAATTCGACCTAGCTATGTAGTCAGTGTCGAAAATCCTCCCACCAAACTCGGAACGTGAACCCGTTACCGTTGCAAGTAAGTTTTCTGTAAATAAATAATTATATGAGTCGCCATTTCCAACAATATTGTTTATTACAATAGCAGCATTGGATGGCTTAGCCATCATCATCACTTTTCTGCGGTGTGAAGCCACAAAAACGACTACTACGTAGTACATCAGAAAACTGATGGTGAAAAGCCATCGAAAGCTGCTATTGTAGTGAACAAGATTGTTGGCAATGACGACTCGTATAATTATTTCATTGTAAATGCCAACGAAAGCTCATCACAATACCAAGATTTCTATAACTAGGGGACGAAAATGTCTAGTTATTCAAATGTTGGTAATCTCGCGCTTTTTTAAAATTTATTTTTATTTATTTATTTATCATTAACTTTTAATCATTCTGCAACTATTTATAGTAAAAATGATGGGAAGGGATTCTGGAACAGAAATGTGCGCAGATGATCTCCCCCATACGCCACATACAGTTTTTACTGTTTTTGACTAAATCTAAATATACAATCTAAACCCTAGGACCTTCCACTCAAAGTCATCGCAATGACGTCAATTATTGTCCTGAGCCACCTAATCCGGTAGAGCATGAGTTCTCCCACTCCAAGAAAATATATTACTTATAATGAAAAGGTGATGTTACGAAAGGTATTGAGTAGCACACATCAGACATAAATAACGGACATAGTTAAGCCAAGGCCAACACGCCAATATACAAACTTCAATGGCGTCAGTAAGTAGCTCTACATTAGCTTATTGACTGCTGTAACTATAACATTAATATAAAAAAAGAAGTGTTAATGTAGGGTATATTTTACGACATAAGTCCTAAATATGACCAGGTTGGAGTCTCGTTGATGGCAGAATTGGACAATAACTAATTAGCTTGTTCGAAACCTACCATTGCTTAAATGATAATTCTACTTCCCGGTTTGGATCGGTTGTTTCGCAAGTTTTCTACCATTAGTTTCATGCGGATGACAAAGCAGTACCTATGTCAACAGACCGGGGATCGCACTGAGAATCCTTCGGGTTAACAAATGTGTCTGAAAGCGGGTCATTTTAAATTTACGTGTACTTTCTTGAAAAGCAGTGCGCAGGTATCTTCAATTAAGATTTCCAATTAGGGTTTCAATTAGCGGAGTGGGATTTTCTGTACCCTTCAGCACTAATGGAGACTTTTCCCCACACACATCAAGACTTTTAGATTAAGATTAAATTCTAGTAATAATGTTGAAAGCGATAAGATCAGTAATCAGTGAAGGGCCTTTCCATTTAGTGGACATGCCTTAAAAGAAAGAATACTGTCCTATGTATTGTATTGTATAGATATTACTGTTCTTTACTGTATTATATTATTGTATTAAATGTTTAATAAGTGCTACGAATTTGCCACCGGGCTTAATGACCAAAGCAAATTAAATTATCTCTCTAAAATTCAAACAACTGCTAAAAATAGTAGCTACTTCGCTGTGGGCGAGATGCCGCATTCTAGCCACATTAGCCTACGTTTCGGTCACTATTCTGCGGTTTTCCTTAGAGCAAAATGTCTGTGTCTTGGTCGCGGCGTCTAAGATCAACAGCGCAGGAATATACTGCGGAAATGAGTATTGCTTCGGAAATGCATATTGTTGGGATGGAGTGCTTTGGGGGTAATTGTACCTATCATTGAACTTTTTATTCTTTCAGCCACTGTCAGTCGGGTTCAATATATTCCATTAATGTTATATGTCATACAGTCATGTGGAGTTGTGTTTTATTTTGTTTTTGTATGAATTTTCAGTCACGTACAAATTTCCTTTATTAGGACAAAAATTCTGTGTTAGTTGCATTTCATTGCACAGTATATTCCTGCGCTGTTGATCTTAGACTCCGCGACCAAGACATAGACATTTTGCTCTAAGGAAGTTCGCAGAATGTAGGCTAATATGCCTAGGACGCGGTGTCTCGCGCACAACTAAGTAGCTACTATTTTTAGTCTGTTTGAATTTTTGAGAGGTAATTTAATTTGTTTTGGTCATTAAGCCCGGTGGCAAATTCGTAGCACTTATTATACATTTAATACAATAATATAATACAGTAAAGAACAGTAAAATCTATACAATACAATACATAGTACAATATTACTTCTTTTAAGGCATGTCCACTAAATGGAATTTCACTGATTTCTGATCTTGTTGCTTTCAACATTATTACTAGAATTTAATCTTAACCTAAAAGTCTTGATGTGTGTGGGAAAAGTCTCCATTAGTGCTGAAGGAAAGCTATTCCATGATTCGATTGTCCTATTTACACGAATGTTTTATTTTTAAATTTTATCAGACCGGTGGAATTACCTCTTTACAAGTGAGTATTATCTCTAATAATGAATGCTCTCGTGCCTCAGTAGCAAAGTCACTTGCCTTTCACCACTGAGGTTCCCGTAGAATCCCCATAGAATCTCATGTGAAATTTGTTACAACAAAACGAATTAGCATGCTTCACATGGGCCAGTCAAACCCCTGTGAAGCGTAGTAAACCTTACCCCTATGCTCATTCCTACTCAATTCTAGCCGATTGGTAGATGACGCAGGGCGCGTGCGAGATGCGAGCGAAGACGCTACCTATTGGCGATTCCCTGACTTGGAGACTGACGTGACTTAATTACCCAGCAGAGTATCTAGAGGGTGCTTAACAATGGAGGATTACTTCTACAGGAGTTGTTATCGGAGGATTTCTCCGCGGTGCGCTCAACGCTCCAAGAAGCTAGGAGGCGCGTTGTGTGTATAGACGCAACAAAAAAAAATTGAAATCAATAGTGTTTCGAAGTTACACGGCTCGCGGTGGCGATGGTACAATGATTAGCGTATCGGACTGTTATACCCAAATTGGCGGGTTCAAACTCGATCGAAGACGTGGATTTTTAAGGGCGAAAAAATATCCGTACGCCTTTTTCGCAGGGGAAGTAAAGCCGGCTGTCCCATGTTTAGTAGATGAAATGTAATCTTGAAGCCTAAATGACGCATCTGAGCGAAATTCAAATCGCCTGTTTCGTCGCCCAAGATATACCTCCTTTCTCCGCTAGTTGGTGGAAGGAGCGTAGCGAAATTTGCGTGGTCAGACGGAAGAGCAGGTCACATGACCTGGTTCTCGCCACGTA